TTCTCTGATTATGTGTAGGATATGACAGCAGTGTCACGGGAGGTTTATCGGGAAGCACTGGCACTCATACCTGCCTGTGCAGGACCTGGTGGGCTGCTGCCTTCCCGCAGTTCAGTTACTGCAGGTTTCTTTACCATAAGGACTGTGGCTTGCGGGAGACACTTGGAGATTGTTAACCACGCTCTTTCCCATCCCGGTTCTGCCCTCTGCTATTCTCAGCACTGTGGATGCTTCTTCCCTGAAACCTACTGCTCTGGTAGTTGCAGAGGTGATTATTTTTTTGTTTGTTTTTTGGTACCAGAGATCTTAACTCATGACCTTGCGCTTGCCAGATAGGTGCTTATGCTGCTGAACTAAATCCCCAGCCCCAAAAGGTGATTATTTTGTCATTTCATAATTTTTCAGCAAGTTACTTGGCATTCTGCTCTGTGAATACTTTCATTGATTCACTCATTCAGTGACATGGATGATAATATTTTGTTCTACAGATTATAGTCTGTTTTCTGTCTTTATTTTGATGCACCCATTTTCCCAGATATGGCTGGGGGGTGCTATTCAGGCTGGCTTTTGTGAGTACCTTTTGACATGTCCACACCTGTCTTTGAGCACATCATGTTTTCTAGCAAACAATATATTCTAGGCTTGCTTTGTATTTTCTGCCCTTGGCCCTGGAGTCAGTCCATTGCTGCAAGGAGTCTGATTCCTTTTGGTGAAGAATTTTAAAAAGCCATAATCTTGACAAATCAAGATCTAGGTTCTAGGCTCATGTTATCACATTCACATAAGATGTTTTGATTGTTTGCAGTAAATCTTCACATTTAAATACAGCTGAAAATCCATGCACAGTTTTTATGTTTCTGCAGCTGGAGAGATATTTCTTAACCTCACATACCTGGGATTGAATTCGTATGGTACTAATAAGCCCAGAGCTGGAATCTTTGTCAGTAATGAGTGAAAAATTGTACTTCCTGCATATGGTCATTGATTCAGTTCAGGATTATTTTAGGTTAGCCACTAATGAACTTGCCATATAAAGAATAAAAGACAGACTTTCAAATCTGTTGGTTTGCAGAGTTGGAGACTATAATTGCAACACTTATTGTTCGTCAGACCGTTCCTTTCAGTCACTTGTCAGCACTCAGCAGCTGGCAAAATATTAATTATGCATCTTTAGTTTCTGTACCTCTTTATGGATCAAGAACTGCCAAGGGGAAATATGGTATCAGTTGCATCAGTCTTTTCCAAATACAGTTAAGTGTCAGTGGTAGAGGATGTGTGTTATTTAGCTTTTCTGCTTATACAGCATCCCGCAGAGTCCAGTGTGTTCTCAGCAGTGTTCACTGTGGTTTGAGACTTGCTTTAACTTCTGCAGGAGAGTGTGGGATACTTTCCCATCTTCTTAGTGGTAGGCACAGAACACTAGAAGTTAGTGTTCTGCATACTAACGGGGAAGGGACAGGAGTTTGTAAATAACTATAAAGAGGGGAGAGACTGACCGGAAGCATTTGGGGCACTTGCTCATCTGCATGGGCTTCTGACCAGAGAGGTCTGAAAGGTGCTGTAGGTATTTCCACACCCTTGCTCTTTGAAAGGGTGGTATGCAAGGTGCTCTTGCATATCCCAGTACACATCAGTCTGTTAAGGACGCTGAAAAGCTCCAAGACGTAGAAATACACTTCATCTTTTCAGGGTAGCGTTTTCCAGACTTCCTCAGGCAGGGAGTGTTTAATGGCTGTGTATTCATTAAAAAGACAACAGTGGTCTGAATGTACTGTTTTGTTCTGTTCTGTTTGATTTATTTATTTATTTAGTTAGCTAAAAAAAAAAAAAAAAATGGTGTTGTGCATGGCCTCAGCACAGCCAGGTCAGAGACTTAGCTCATACGTTCCGAGAGATCAGGGAAATTATGTCAGGATGAGAATTTGCCAGTCTTAGCGATTGAGGTAAATTTGAGGGTATGGTGGGAGCACAGAGGGGACTCCTACACCCGCCCAGTATGCATCTTGAGGGTGGAGTTTTAAGTTTACAAAGTCACAACTCAGTGCATTTTTATGCATTTGTTACAAAATCTTTTCTGAGCACCTGCTGCACTGGAGATGGATAGAGGAGAACAGAAGGAAGGAGAATGCTTGTCTGCAGGGTCATACAATTGTGACTTACTGGAGGGAGGCAGGCTTCACATAAGGTAAATACAAAGAAATAACATTTCCTCTGTAACATAAGGGTGAGGAGTGCAGAAGAGAGCGGGGAGGGGTGAGGGGAGGGGTGCCTGCATGTGTAGTGAGGAGAGGAGGGTTAACCAGGATTGCTGGGGAGACACTCCTTTCCTAGGGTGGGTGGGTGCAGCAGGATGAAGTGAGGGAGCTGTGTGAATCTCTGGGGCAGGGCGTGTCCACGCAGAAAGGACGGGAATTATAACGGTCTAGGAAGGAAGGGAACGCTTGGCATGTGGCAGATGCAGGGAGGAGGACCCTTGCATGGGGTCAGGTTGTGAGAACAGTTTTAGAAGATGAGGCCTGGGAAGGTACGCGGAGGGAACCGTGCAAGGCAGCGAGAGCTGTGACCTGGCCTTTGTTCCTATTTAAGTGGGATGGTGAGGTATGGAAGGGACCTTCAAGTGTGGAGGAGATGGCTGGGGGGCTCTTTGGCGAACAAACTGAAGGTGGACTGTGTCCAGGAGGACACCAGGAGCCCACCTCCTGCTAGGGAAATCCAGGAGAGAAGTGACTTGGGCCAGAGTGGGATTCAGGGAGTCGCGCAGACCCTTGGTCTGTTCTGCAGAGTGTGGGAGGGTAGGGCTGGCCGCAGAGCCGGTGAGGGTGGAAGGGAAGAGGGGTTAAGGATGCCTCAGGGCTGTGAGGTGACGCTTTTCAAGAGTGGGGGCAGCAAGTGTAGCAGACTCAGGAAAGGAAATGAGGAATTCTCTTGTGGTTGATGTCACTGCGTACTTGCTGTTGGAATGGCTGCTCTCTAAAGCCAGAAAATAAGCGACTGGGGAAACTTATCATGTAGGGGGAAGAGAAAGACATTGTCATTGTGTGGCGTAAAGAGGGTGGAAAAGAGTTCAGTGCAGAGTCCTGCGTTTTTATGATTTTCTTCTCAGGCTTTTAAAATGTTTACATTAAACTGTAGTAAATAGATCATATAAAATTTACTGTTTACTGTCTTAGCCGTTTCAGGCGTACAGTTCAGTAGTGATGAGTGCATTCACACTGCTGTGCAACAGGTCTCCAGAACTGTTCGTCTTGGAGGACCGAAGCTGTACCTGTTAAACGGTTCCCCATCCCATTATTCCCCATGCCTCTGACAGCCGCCATTCAGCTTTCTGTCTGTGCGAATTCACCCATTCAAGGGGCCGTTTGTGAGTGAATTCATACAGTGTTTGTCGTCTTTGTGACTGACTGGTTTCAGGTAGTGCAATGTCCTTCCAGCTGGCCTGCGCAGAAGCATGCGTGTGTCAGGATTCCCTGCCTTTTGACGGCTGAGTAATACCCCACATGTGTTTACCCAGGCATGCGGGCTGCTTGCACCTCTTAGCCACTGTGAATAAGACTTGTGTGAAGATGAGTGTGCAGGTACCTCGCCAAGTCCATTTTCACTTTTTTCCGATGCATGCTGGAAGTCAAAGTCCTGTATCATATGGTAATTCTGTATGCAATGTTTTGAAGACCTGCCACCATGTGTTTCTGTGTCTTATGACCAAGGAAATTCAGTAAGGTGTGTGACAGAAGCAGAGAACTACTAAAAGATGGCCATGGCCAAGTCTTTGTTTCCCTGTTTCTGCCCCTGACCAGCACAGGCACTTGGGCAGCTTATCTTTTTGATCATCAGTTTAATCATTTGGAAAATGAAAAGGTAAATTCCCTGCTGGCCCCCTGGACTCGCTCGCTGAAGCGGAGTACGGGAGGCTTTCCCATGGGGCTGGGGCCGCACCTCGCGTGGACAGCAAGGCTTTTCCTCCTGAGTTCCCGCCGCAAGGAGAGGCATGGGCTCGGAGAGTGCCTGCGCCCCTGAGCTACTGCGGAAACCTGCAGCTCCTAACCCCTGCTCTGCCGGCCTGTCCTTCCGGGGCACTCGAGTTTCCTTTCTCGAGTAACAGAGGAAAAGAAAATGAAAAAAACAGTTAAGTCCTGCCATACTCAAAGTAGGTAGTTTTAATTACTTATTGAATGAGTAAAATGGTTTTGAGATTTGACGATTCGGTGTAAGCAGATATGGATCTATCTTACTGAATTTTCAGGAATGTTGAATATATTTTTAAAAACTGGAAATTTTATCTAACACTCATAACAACGCAGAGATGAAGCTGGGTGTGGTGACCCATGCCTGTGACCTGTGTGACTCTGGGAAGCTGAGGCAGACGAGGTGACTGAGTGAGACCCTGTCTCAAAAGTTCAAAAGGGCCGAAGATGTGGACCCCTGGGAAGTTCTGGGTTCAATAAAGAAATGAGCCATGCAAAAAAATATAACTCAGAATTCAGAACACTGACTTGAGCGTCCCAGAGCCAGCACTGTGTCTGTAGGCTCCCAAATATTAATGAGGCAAACTTAACACTGCTGGAAAAGACCAAGCTTAATGTAAGATACTTTATTTTTCTGATTGTAAATGAGGTGAAGTCCTAAATCAAACCCAGTATAATTTATTGAGTTATCTTGAGAAATAAAAGGATGCTTAATTCCTGAGATTGTGTTATGCTTACAGCATGTAAAATGAGAACTTCTTCCCCAGAGGAATTTCTTTTAGAGATATAACCTGAGTGACAGCTCATACAAAATGATTCCGTAGTACATGAAACACTCTAAAATTCTTCTGCTTTGGTTCAATTTCAGATTCACATGAATAGCTAATAAATTTCAAAGTCCTAAAGGCCTTGGACTGTGACACTTCATTTTTACACCCTCTGCTCCAGACTCGGCTTGACAGTAATAAGCACAACACAGCCGTGTGAGGCCTCAGCGGCAGCTCCTCAGCACACAGTCTCTGTTCTTCTCTTCTGCAGGCAAACACGCTGAAGACATATTTGGAGAGTTGTTTAACGAGGCTAACAACTTCTACATCAGAGCAAATTCTCTTCAAGACAGAATCGACCGCCTTGCTGTCAAAGTCACCCAGCTGGATTCCACCGTGGAAGAGGGTAGGTAATTGCGTGAGTGCAGTGAGCTAGAAGTGACGGCCACAAGACGGTGGTAATTAATTGTGTGTAATCACTGCTGTTCCAGGGCAGGAGCTGACATTTCATCCTGTGTCTCCCTAGAATAGTGAGGGGAACCCTGCAACATGGGTTAATTAACGATGAAAAGATTCATCTCTTGTCTACCTCATACACCATGATTTTGTTTAAAAATTGTTAAGTGTAGTATTTGCTTAAACACTTCTTTCGATGCATTCAATATTAGAAATCCTGAGAGTTATTGACAGCCATTTTAAAAGTACTTTCTTAGTTAGAATTCATAGAATCACTCCAGAGTCCAGCCAAACGTACACGCCAGAGTGCAGCCCAGGGTACACTGCTGCAGCCAGCAGGCTTTGGCCTGATGTTCCTGTTTGGGCTGATGCTTGGGAATCATCTTGGTGATTCTGCCCATCTCCAAATCTTACAAACCTTCTCAGAAAGAGCATTTACCAGAGGCCTTTAGATTTTAATTTTTAGAATGATATTAATATCAACCAGTACTTTTTAGGTTAACTGATAATCATCTGATAATATCCCCTGAAATGTGAGGCAGTTTCAAGAAAATTTAAACCATCAACAATTCCATGTTAAAACTTTGAATGAGAGACTGAGATAAGACTTAAAAAAATCTGAAAGTCATAAGATTCTACTCCATAGTTAGAGAAAAGTATTCAAGTTACATATTATTTTTCCTTTATATAGTACTAGTTAGAATTTTTCCTGTTGCTTTAAAGATGCTCCCAGCATCTTGAGTTTTATACTATACCTATATAGTAGTATAGAGTAGTTATTTGAGGGATTCATGCCTCATCGTTTAAAAAACATACATTTACTCATGTTCAGTTCTTATTTATAAAAGATCTAAATTAAATTATGGCTAATACCTATTGTGAACATTCTTACTGACTTTGCAGCAATAAATAGGAAGCTAAAGACATGTTCTTTTAAATTATATTTTTAATTTTATTTTTAAATTCAAAAATTAAATAGTGACTTGGCTGTTTAGATAAGGAATTCTTTTTTTTTTTTTTTCTGTCTTTTTCATTTTTATCGGTACCGGGGATCAAACTCACGACCTCCTGCTTGCGAGGCAGGTGCTTATGCCGCTGAACTAAATCCCCAGCCCTCTAGATAAGGAATTCTTAACATCTTAAGTCATTTACTTTTTAAACCAGTATCACAAAAGATTTTTAATATTCATCTTAGATTTTTTTTCTGGCTTTTGGAATTTGGAAAGTTTATGATAACATTTTACACTGAAAAATGTTAAGCTGTAAGTTAATGTTTATGAAATTTTATGGTCCATTTCATGTGTTTAAAATTTTTTCCCAATCAAAATTTTTACCTTGCTCTGAAAGCTAGGAAATCAGTGGTCTGTTTAGGGCTTATCCTTTGGGGAGAGGGGATGGAGAAGATCCCGGAAATGTCATTTAATATCCCTTAATCATAGCTCTAATAGTTGAGCCAAGTGGATTGATAGGATCCATTTGCCAAGGTCAGATGAGTTAACAGATGATGCATAAATGCAGTGTAAACTTAACAAAAGACATGTACTGATGTTAATGTTGGAAAACCTTAGTATGTTATTTACGTTTCTGTAGTGGTTGCAGCAGTATTTTCCCTAGATATTACACTTAAAAGAATATTAACTGGTTAGGTTACCCCTTCCCCCTGGGCTGCCATGCCTGTTACATTTCTATGTGGTTTTGGAGAAGTACTACTTAAATAAATGATGATCTACTGTTAGATTCAATGAAATAATTAGGTTACTGCCAAAGAATTTGACCTTATCTTATCAAGAAAACTGCTACCTAAAAGGAAGAGAATCAACTTCTAGCATAGGTTTAAAGAAACAATAGAAACCACTGGTTATTCCAGGAGATTTTATGGTTACCAGTCAAATGATACTTATTTCTAACTAGTGAAAAATATTTCTTTGTATCTCACCTTGGGGGACTTTTCTCTAAATAGTGTCACTGCAGGATATCAACATGAAAAAAGCTTTCAAAAGTTCTACCATCCAAGACCAGCAGGTGGTTTCAAAGAACAGCATTCCTAATCCAGTTGCTGACATTTACAACCAGAGTGATAAACCACCGCCTCTGAGCATCCTGACCCCATACAGGTATATTCCCGTGGTGCCAGAGCCTCTTCAGTGGAGGTGGGTGGAGATGGGGGGCAGGCTGGAGAGGTGTAGCGCACCTGCTTCAGTGGCTTTAAAGAGTTCTTCCCAGTCTGAAAACAGTAATTGTAGTTTTGTACCCATTGAAAGTAGTTAGTGATACAAAACTACTGAAGCTTTAGGATTTTCAGATATAAGTACATTTACTAGCCGAAGTGTGACATGACGTGAAAAGTGATTTTACTGTACGTGTGGATGTGTATTCAGTTACATGGAAAATAAAACACGTGTTTGAGTTTTTAAAAATGTATTCAATAAAAGTGCCGGCTTGAATTCATTCATGCAGTAGTCGGGTACTTAAAACGTAAACTTTTGTATTTGCACTTAAATGTGACAGGAACAGGATGCTAAAAAGTTGAACGATCAGATACAGTGAAAAAGAACCCTAGCCCCTTGGTCTTTTGTCAGCATTAACTTGTGTTCCCATCTCCATTAGAATGTTAAAGCCATATTAAGGAACATACATTTTAGACCTCTGAAAGTTTCCCCCGAGTTTTGCAGTCTGTTTTCCCATACCTTTACCTGTACTCAAAGCCTATTGTGCGGAATCGATTCTCTTTTTCACAATAATGTTATTAATAAAGTCTCTGTCACATGGCTTGCTTACAGATTGGGAAGCTAGAAAAAGAAGGCGTTAAATGAGTCGTGTGCTTGTCTGCAGTGAGTCTCAGTGGCAGGGTCTAGGATAGCCACTGTAGGAGCCTGGCACTGAGCACTGGACAGTGAGGGGCACACAGGAGGTAACAAGGCAGGCCTCCAAGGGGACCCCTTTTCCTTCCTGATCGTTAACTCGTTTCTCACTGCACTCCTGTGATTGTTTTGCTCCTCTTCTGTGCCCTGAGCTGCGGAAATACTAATATGAAGTGCACAGTTTGTTTTCCTTGTTGAAGGATTACAGGCCCCATACTTTTTCAGACTTTTAATGGGATGGACTTTATTTGCACCATGATTGTTTTGAATATTACTACCATATTACATTACATTTTAATTCATGTCACATTATTTTTGGCTATATGGTGAGTAACTTACATAGGATATGAAATATTCTTTAGACCATAGCAATTACAGCAGTACGTACAAGTAAATAAATTCTCTTTGAAAATATGTAGCTCAGCACATTTTCCTAGCCACACTGGCATGCAGTGAGCATTTTGCTTCTTTCCTAACTGAATTTATGATACAGTGGTGCCTTGGTTCACAAATGGAAACATTGGGCAAAATCGTGTTTTTGTCTGCAAACTCCACGGTGAGTGATGGACATGACCGTGGCCGTCTTTCCCACACAGACACAGCACGGCTGGCCTTTGCAGCATTTGTGGCTGAATTAAGTTTATGAACCAAGGTACCACTGTACTGGCAAACCTGATTGAGAAGGGACAGACTCTTCACTCGTTTTTATCACAGTAATATTTAATCTCCAGAGTAGAAAAGAATGTATTTATACTAAGAATTCATTCATCTCTGATTGTGGCCCCTTTTGGAATAAAGTATTTCCTGAAATAGTTGAGCTACTCAAAATTGATGTTGATAAGCCAGCATGTGCCTTTTCAGAGCCATTTTCTGGTTTTTTTTGGGTCTTTTTTATTTTTATCGGTACCAGGGATCGAACTCACGACTGCATGCTTGCAAGGCAGGCACTTATGCTGCTGAGCTAAATCCCCAGCCCCTCATTTTCTGTTTTTCATTCTAAGTTTGCAAATAGTACCTTATCCTACTTACGTGGAACACGTTGCTCGCTGTGAATGTTTCTGTATTTATTTCAAACAAGGAAGTTTAGAGCATAATGTACTTGATAATGAAGATACTCCATGGGGTATTTGCTGAGTTAAAATGTTAATATTAACCTTCCAGTGTTAGATAGAAATATCTAACCATCTTTTCCTCTTTGACTTATAATACACTGATTCATAGAGATGATAAGAAGGATGGGCTGAAGTTCTATACTGATCCTTCCTATTTCTTTGACCTCTGGAAAGAAAAAATGCTACAGGACACAGAAGACAAAAGAAAAGAGAAGCGACGTCAAAAGGTATATAATTCCATCACAGGAAATGTGCATGTCAGTGTGTGTATGGGATTCTTGATTATAAATAGGTCAGTAAATTCTTATTTAAATGGGTGAGATGTTGGACTTACTATTTTTTAGAGGTTGGTTTTCACCTGAAGATTCTAACAATTCAGTCAAATACAGTAGTTCTGTTTTTCAACAAATAATGGTTTGTTCACCAACACTTGCTTTGCTTTAACAAAAATAGTGGCTTAAATTTTAGTTTTGTTTGCAGCCAGGTTTTATAACTTGCCTACTCCCTCAGATCTTCATAAAGCACTCAGCATTGCATATCAGATAAAAAAATGTGCTTTTTATTCTTGGTGATTGGGTTGCCACTTCTCTGTAATGGAGCCCTTGGGGAAAGTCTCACAGTGGGTGAGAACCGTGTGTGCTTTGCGCTCTCCCATGGCCGTATTTACTGGGAGTGAGCCTACTTTCAAGGGGGTGGTGGTAGGCAGGAGGCTCACAAGTCTGAAGCTAAGAACACCTCCTTACAGGGTGCCTTGGATAAGCTGACTGCTCTTAGGTTTAGGGACCAGGCCCAGGACTTGGTCAGTGAGAAGAGTAATTCTCCAAGAGGAAGTATTTGCCAATATCTTGTATGTAAGTTACCTTTAAAAACAATTACTCAGTTCGCTTGACAAGCACTGGAGTGCACTAATTGAGAGAAGTGCTTAGCATTTCGCAGGGTGGACTCAGCTTTGAAGCATGTAGGTGTGGGATTGGGGATTTAGGGTGGAGGAAAATTCAGCATTTGAAAACAAGATTTAAGAAAAGGAACATACGACCTGGGCATGGCTTAGTGGTAGGACTTTTGCCTAGCATACGTGAGGCCCTTGGTTCAGTCCCCAGAACCTTCACCAATAAATAAATAGATAGATAGGTAGATAAATAAAAAGAAGAAAAGGCAAAGGTGAGGGACGTAAGACATCACTACTGAATTCTGGGAAAGGGCAGAGAAGCTATGGTTGTTACACTCTCATCCCTGTGACTTGGGAAGATTTTACTGGGAACCTTGGAAGAATTCCTGCGTTCCGCAAAGCATGAAGGGAAAAGAAATATTTAGTATGTTCCCACCAGCTTGAACCACGTGTGTGACTGGCTCCCATCAAGCAGCTTGGACGGCTGGCAGTGGTCATGCGTGTATCACAGGTGGTTCACACAACCCGGCAGCGAGACATGAATTACAGCCTGGTTATAGACACATTAGACACATGTTATTTTAAAGCCTATACCTTTTCATAGTAACAAGGGAAAATACCAGGGATTTCAAAAGTGCCTTCCTTTGAAGCCTTCTGTCCTATTAAGAGGCTTTTGATTTCCCTTCTCAGAGATCCTTTTGACAGGATATTTGTCTGGTCACTCTCCTTTAAAGAGAAAACAAACTTTTATGTTATGATTATTGCGTTTTCAAAATCATCTGTCATTTCTTCTGCTATTTTGTGTCACTCTGTATTCCTCAAACTTATAATTCTGGTAAGAATTTCTCATTCATTTTAATAAAGTGCTTCTTTGTTTAATGCCTTCTAAGTTCTAGATATAGACAGTGTTTTTCTATTTTTTTTATTTTTTTTTTGTCTTTTTCATCGGTACCAGGGATCGAACTCACGACCACCTGCTTGCAAGGCAGGTGCTTATGCCGCTGAGCCAAATCCCCAGCCCCTAGACAGTGTTTTTCAACAGCTGTCACACACATGGAGATATAGTACAGTGAAGAGCACAGGCGTGGGACAGTCCCACAGCCCTGGAGCTCAGACGGAGATTTACAAATGTCAACACAAGTCTGCTTCATAGAGGGCTAGAAAATGAAACAACATAGCCTTCCATTTCCATGATTTCTGACATCTAGGTCACATTCACTTAAAAATGACAAACCTGAAGGGAGAAATCAGTTTAGGAAATTTGGGAATAACAAATCCACTGTATGTAGACACTAGATTTTCTTTAGTTTGATGCTTAAACAAAAAAACAAGCAGCAAATTTTAAGTGCATTGTAACATGGGTAAGTGCAGCGTATTTCCTTCTCAGAGCAGGGGTGCAGAACTTGAGGTGACCTGGTGGGGTGGTCCTGGGCGTGTGGTGTAGTGTCGAGGGAAACCTGTGAGGAGGTGACACATGCCAAGGTCTGAAGGAGACAGCTCAGCAGAGTAGGGGTGGGGCAGAGGGGAGGCCGGTGGCCAAGGGAGATGCACAGGTGTCATCAAGAGACACTCTAGGTAGACTATCTAAGAATATACTTAGACTCTAGGGATTTTAGTAAGTAGGCCAGTGTAACTGCAGTGTGGATGCATCATTGTTGATATTTTTGTTATAGTCAGTTAACTTTTGTGTGTGTGTGTGTGTGTGTGTGTGTGTGTGTGTGTGTGTGTGTCCTAAGGCCATCTTTGTAGGTAGAACTGGAGACTAAACCATTGATTAAAAAAAAAGCTTAATTCCTGAATATGTCAGTGTATATTTCCTACAGAGTAATAGTTTTTAACTTCTTTAACACAATGACTCTTAATTGTTATGTGTACTGGAATCACAGAGGAATCTCTGCACCTTTTTTCTTTTGGATTTTAAAAGTATGCGTGCAATATACGCTGGTGTAAAATGCTTAATTTTCCCTGAAGGAAATAAAGGCAAACCCCACCCGACACTGTTCAAAGTTGGGTATGCAATTTTTCATCCATTCAAGGGTGCATGAACACACACATGTACACACACATTAACAGTAATTTATATGCATAGAATTGAGCTACATGACACACACAGACACTGTTAAAGATATACTTCATTCTTAATAGTTATGTAGTATTCTGAATACAAATGTTTTATAAATTATTCACTTATTGTATTCATAAATATAAGTTGCCACTGTCCTGGTAGAGTGGTGGGCTCTGGTATGTGTGTAGAGTTTGTTAGGATAAATTTCTAGAGTTGAATTGCTGTTAATAAAGAGAATATGAATTATAAATTTTTGAAGATACCATCATGTATATCTTAATATCTTTCAGTCTTAAAAGACTGAAAAGCTAGTTTTCATCCTACCCGTGTCCCCTATCCCCAAATGCTGGTTTTTGATGAGCACGCCCCTCTGTCATCTCCTCTGCAGTCCGTATTTCCATAGCCTTATCAGCCATTTCTGTATCTTTGAATTTCAAGTCCACATCTTTTGCTGGTCCATTATCAGAGTCTCCCAATACCTCTGGTTTACTTCTCCCAAGTACTCTGGTTTATTTCACCCTTAAATTATCTGCTATTTTCTTTCTTTTTTTCAATCAAGTTTATTGGTACTATTTAGATAGACATGATGATCACATGCAGCATGAGGAGTTTGCTCCTGTATGTGAGGGATCTTGATTCCTCTTTTTTCCCCATTCTCCTGCCCTCCCTTCAACCTCCTTCAGCATATTTACAAAGCTCTGTTTCCATTTTATCCTTCTTTTATCATTTTTTTCCTTTTTTCCATTTTTTCTTACTCCGCCACCGTAGCATTTTAGCTGGTGTCCCTGCTCTCTCTTTTGATCTGCACCCTGCACACGGAAGACTCCCCGCCATGCTGTCCCTGCCTCCTTCACAGCTTCCCATCACGCCTCAGATGAAGAGCAGAATTGCTAGTGCAGCCTTGAGGGTCTTCCTGCCCCTCAGACCTTGGACCATTCGCCCCAGGCTGCCATTACCTTCTTTTATGTCTCTTGCCTCAGGAGGTCTTCCCTCTCCTCTCCCTTTCCTGTCCCTCTCCTTAGCATGCAGACACAAGCTGTGTGTCTGTCTCATGCCTCTTCACGCGCAGGGCTGTCTCTAAGGCACTGCAGAAACCTCCCTGGCTTCAAGACTTCGGTGGCGCTCACATAGCAAAACATGTCATGCGCACATGCATATTTATATAGATATCTGCATATGTAAAATATATTTGTACAATACACATTACTATTATTTTGAAATATAAAGACACTTCTGTTTTACCATATTGTAGAATGAATGGTACGTTTATATGTATCATGTTGCAGACTTTCCCTGCGGACCTCAAGCTCGGTGAGGGCAGAGAAGTGTCATTTTTTACTTTTCTGATCACCATTTGTGTTTCCAGTGCCTGGGACTCGGTGGGCTCTGGAGTCTTGTACTTGAAGCATGGTGAGGATTTGCTTGTGTGGCCGGCATTTACTGTGAGCTCTGTGTAAACTGAGTTGAGTGCCATAAGAGGGAGGCATAGGAAGCAGGGCGTACGCAGTCCTCACCCTAAGGATCAGAGGATCCTTTTGGGAAGCAGGAGCAGCTAACAGATGCAACAGAAATAGCTGTCCTTGCTTCTAAAAAAGTACCTACGCAGGACCTGAGCATTTATAAAAATGAATACAACAGCAGGCATGGCCCGGTGTGGGGGCAGGTAAGTTTTTGTCTTATTTCCTGTTAAGGTAGTTTTAAGCTAAGTTAAGTATTCTGTAATAATCTTTTATAAGTTGGGAGCAGATTATTTTGAATTGTTTAGTTAAATAATTGCATGTCAACAAACTGGGCAAAGTGATGTAGTTGTGAGAACTGATATCTCTGAAGAGCGTTACCAGGTATTTAGAATATACAATACAGATCCAAAAGGTGTCAATATTTAAAACAGGCTACAAGCTACATGTGGTGGCGCACACCTGTAATCCCAGCACTGGGGAGGCTGAGGCACTAGGATCACCATGAATTCGAGGCCAGCCTGGGCTACAGAGTGAGTTTGAGGCCAGCCTGAACCGGATGGTGAAACCCTGCCTCAAAAAAGACTGGGAGAGGGGAGTGACAGCTTCCTTACCAGATGATGGGAAGCAGGTCTCCTAACTTAGCAATGGCTTTCTGCTCTGAGGAGAGAGCGTGGTGTCAGGGAGTCCCCTCTGGGTCCTGGAGTGAGAGAGCTCTGCCGCCTTGAACGTGCTGTAGGGCAGTAACGGGAATGTCCATGTCTCCTGTGCATGTCAACCGTATTTCCTGTGCACTGTGACTGTGTCTAACCTGCTGTTTCCTTTCCCTTCTGTCTCGGCATGCTTTCTTCTTTTTCCTGGACCTCAGGAGCAAAAGCGTATAGATGGCGTCACCCGTGAGGTGAAAAAGGTTAGAAAAGCCAGAAACAGGCGCCAGGAGTGGAATATGATGGCCTATGACAAAGAGTTTAGACCCGACAACAGGTTGTCGCAGAGTGTGCACCATGGAGCATCTTCCGAGGGATCCCTGTCCCCAGACACTAGGTGTGTGTGCGCACGCGTGTGCATGTGTGTGTGTGTCCAACCCCACCCCGGGGCTCGCCATCTCGGGCTGCTTCTTGATTGTGTGTCACTGGGAACGGCAGCAGCAGTCTGGGGTTGGCACAGCTGCAATAGGCCTCAAAACTCTGGATTAAAATTCTCTGTGTATTGATTTTGAATACTTCAAGGCAGTGTTGTTTTAAATTGGGTTACTTTGTCTGATTTGTTTTTCTCTTAAATTTACTGTTCAGTTATTCTAGAGGTAGTGTTTTGGTAGTGTCTTCAATTTTTACTTTAATAATTATTTAATCTTTTAGCTTGGAATTTTTAATTTGCTATGTTATTCATTAAGAATAATAGATGGTGATTACTATGACTTAAGAATGGCTTCACTGTTCTGCTCGATAACCCTTTGAAAAAACGATGAACAAAAGAGATTGATTGTTTACTTCTGATAATTAACCATGTATATTCTAATTTCAGGAGAAGAATTCAGGTGGAGTTTTAAAATTGGTTAGCAGTTAAGTGATGTCACTAAGTCACATTTTTCACAGAGGAATTCACTGGACAAAAAGAACTGACTGATCAGTTGAACTTCTGTATTAATGTCCGCTTTCTGATTTTGCAAAGCTGTAATCTATTTGTATAAAGTCGCAAGCAGAGAATTCTTTTTTGTTTATTTTCATTTTATTAGTACCTATTTACAGTATATAATGATTAGGTTCGTTATGCAAAGTTGATCCATGCACATAACATCCCCTGTTTACATCCCTTCTCTCCCTGCCTCCATCTTTTGAACAGAAAATTTGTATGTGAAATACAGGGTTTAAATGTTCCTGCCCAAGTGGGTCTGTAAGTCACTGGGTGACTGTGACAACACAGATCCTAGGTAATTTGCCTATGCAGTTGTTAACCGTTGGGAATCATTGGAGCTTCAACTGAGTTCTAGCCAATGTTTGAATTCTATGTCAGTTTATTTCTCTAGACACTAAGGTGCATGGTACCCTTCTGTTCAGTTCTTCGGGTAGGGAGAGCTATATGAAGTTAGTTTTCATTATTGTGAATTTACTCTCCTGTTTTCCCAAACTATTTAGTTGTGATTGTTCACTCATGCAAAAACATGTACTTTATTTTTATTCCATCTATACCCTCTTTTAACCAATGCAAATGGAAAATAGATATTTTAAATCCCTTGATTGACTGATTCTCACTCCGTTGTTCAGGTCAGACTGCTCGAAGTTACGCATAAAGTTGATGGTCGCTTGAATTACTTAATAGTTTGCCTTTTTGTGTTGCTTAGGTATGTCTTCATTTCTGTCATTTTTCAAGACGTGAACAGAATAATGTTTTATTTCTTAAGCATTGTCTTTTGTCCACTATTCCTGTGTCCTCACACTGTTTACATGTCATTACTCACAGATAAGTAGCTTACAACTCATCATTGTGCTTGGGTTATATCCTTTAAATTAATTTAGAAAGTTTTGTTTTTTATTCTGCCAAGGTGTACAACTTTTCCTTACGATATAAAACATAATTCCTACATGTTTAAATTACAAGCAAATTAAATATCCACCATTTTATCAGCCAGAGAAACCGCTGTTGCATGGGAGTACCTGTCGTTCATCTTTCTCTGTGCATGGGCGTGCTTCTTCCTTCTGTAAAATGGGAATCATTCTATATGTTTTTGCTGTCTTTTTTAACAGTGGTATTTTATCTTTTAGGTCCTATTTAAAAGCATGGTCTTGTATTGTTTATATCCTGTCATTTAAACGTATTCCCTCATACTGAGGGAAATTTAATAGTTTCATGACATTCATATAAGTGACACACTTTAACCCAGCCCACATAAACGAATCTTAAATTCTTGCCCTCACTGCATTACGTGTGGGATGTGAGTGTGAGTTTAATATGCAGGTTGTCACATGCTTGCCTCCCGTAACCAGCTCTCTTCAGTGTGCCTGGAAGTGTGGACTCGATGCCCAGCTGTCTGTTTTCGCTTGCCCATCCTGTTGGGGACCCTGTTACAGTGCCCTCACCCTGCCTGCCTTCTGCCCCAAAGCCCTTGGAGTCTGTTGGGATCTCCCAGTGCATCTCCACTGCAGAGCTCACACCTGTGGGTTTCAGTGCTGGGTTTCACCCACGCCTTCTCTTTTCTGCAGATGGCTGCCGTCATCACTGAGCTCCAGGGCTTCCTTGCTGCCCGTGTGTGGTCCTGGCTGTGGCTGGTGGCCACCTTCCCACCCGAGTCCATCTCCAGCAGTGCCCTGCTGCTTCCCCACCTCTCTTGCCTGCCACCACTCACTCCTTGTCCTCAGGTCCCTTCACTGTCCAGCCAGCCAGGCCCCTCTGTTCCTCCTGCCTGTCCTCACGATGGCCACCCTTGCCCATCAGAGCCTTGACCTTTGCTCTGGTGTCTGTCTGGTTAGCCCCATTTTCTTGATTGCTTTTGGCCCTGTGTCGCAGCGGTACGTCACAAGGATAGCGCTTTCTGTTGTGCCACAGGGTTTACAGGGTCTGCCCTGCATATACTCAGGGACTCGCCAGGTTTTTTCAGATGACTGTTTCCTTCTAAAAGTGGTACACATAGCCACTGCACAGGTACACAGAGGCAAGCACGTGTCTTCAGTGACCCTGGAATCTTAAGAATTTGTGTTTTCATTATGTACTGAATGTAAATACAAGTCAGATTCTTCTCCCACTAAAAATATGCTTAACTCAACTGGTAGCACATACCTGTCATCCTGGGAGCCAGGAAGGCTGAGGTAGGATTGCAAGTGTGAGGCCAGCCTGGGCAACATAGTGAGACCAAATTACAAATGTTCTGAGGATGTGGCTTAGCACTAGAGCAGTTCCTGAGCCACCCATGCTCAAGACCCTGGACTCCATCACCAGCCAAATTTTATATGTGACAGAGCAATTAGCACAGTTCAGAAGACATCCTCACATGGACACCACGATATGGAACCACAATTAGGGAAGAGAAATGGGTTATTATTTATGCTGCACTGTAATTAGAGGAAGAAAGCAGGCTCTTCTACTTAGTAAGCTTTCTGTGTCGCTCAGCAGTGCAGTTAGGGAGGCCCTGCTGTCCGGGCACCACAGACGGAACTGCGTCTCGTGCCCTCTTTGCTGCCTGCCCCACAGTCCCGTGTCTGCCTCTTTCCTCCAGAGGGAGAAGCACAAGCTGAACCCTAACAGGAGCCAGCAGGTGCATGTGAGAAAAGTCAGAACGAGAAGAGAAGAGTGGGAGAGAAGGAAAATGGGCATTGAATTTATGAGTGACGCAAGGAAGCTGGAGCAGGCGGGGAGCGCCAAGGAGGACAGGCCGCCCAGAGGGTTTGTGCTTTTGCTCTCTTTGGACCCCCAGCCCCAGGCCGCCTGCTGCAGCGCCATGAGCCGTGGGCAGCCCTGCTGCTGACTCGATTCCGTAACCACCCTCAGCTGCGACTGTCACTAACGCCTGCGTGGCCACACACTGCCACGCCTGCTGACCACTGCTCTCCTCTGGGCACTGGCACCTTTTCCCTCTTGGCTCACTAATGCCAGGTTTCCATTGCTTTCAGAGTTTCACGCTCAACTGTGTTCAAAGAAAATAAGGGCCTTTCATGGTGTGCTGTGTTGCTGCTTTCTATGGATTAAACACGTCTTCTGTTCAAGAAAAAATACAGCGCACTCTTGCATTCTCTTCATATTTATCCAGCTCACCCACCATTCTGTTTTCTAATTAGATGCTGTCAGTTTCATTGCCACTGAAATCCTGTCTGTCTGATGCTCTTTCCCAATGAAATGGGGTTTGTCAGTAGCCTGGTCTCAGAGAGGAAGTCCATGAAACACTGCAAACAAGGCTGGGCACCCTCTTGCTTGCTGAGCTGTCTGACTGACTGCAGAACGCAGATCTGAATCCATGTAACCCTGGGCTTGCTGCTAAAATAGTAATGATGTTGTTGCTCGGAAGCTCTCGTGGGGCTAGACCTAGTTGAGGGTGAAGGAAGCGTATGTCTTATTTTTGTGCGTTGGTACTGTAATTATTCATATGGATGCTTCTGTTTGTTAGAGAACATTTTCACTTGTAATTTAAATTTCTCCCATTGATTTTTCTCCAACATCAGGTCCCATGCTTCAGATGTCACAGATTACTCTTACCCGGCTACCCCCAACCACTCTCTACACCCCCAGCCGGTGACTCCCTCCTATACTGCTGGCGATGTGCCACCGCATGGGGCTGCAAACCAGGCCCCTGAGCATGAGTACCGGCCCCCATCTGCATCGGCGAGGCACATGACCTTAAATAGACCTCAGCAGCCACCACCGCCGCCGCCTCCCCAAGCCCCAGAAGGGTCTCAGGCCTCTGCACCGGTGGCCCCAGCAGATTATGGGTAAACAGCTGTTCTTCATACTCTAGCTGCTACTTGTTCTTGCTATGTGAATTTTTATTTTGATAGGTTATTTTGCCTTAGTCTTTAAGTATTCGTCCCTTAGAGCCAGTATCCAGGAAAGCTGAGTGTATGTCCCTTACCTTTAGTAAGGTGCCAAAATATAATCAGGAGCTATTGGGCACAGACACTACCAGTGATGACGTAGTCTGTGTAGGTGTGGTGTTACACCGCCACGCCTGAGTTGACCTTGCCTTCTGCACATAGGCTGTGTGTTTATGTGTCTCAGGGCAAGTCTGGTCAGGGGCTGGCTGGGAGCTGATTCATGCTTCTCCATGTGTTCTAGGGAAGTACAGACAGTGCTTGTCACAGCTGACAAACCATAGAGTATGACCTCGGCTTTGCCCTGTCTTCTCCCTCTTGACCTCTGGGCCCTCAGATTGTTTGGTCCTATGGCTTTCCATTTCTGTCTTGTGGGAGGGAGTCCAGCACCTCCTGCGAAGGACTTTCCTTTACATGTCTGTTATCAAGAAACACTCACCTTTACTTTGATGGGCTCACCCGTCTCCCCTGTGGCTGTACACTCATTTTTTAAGGGATCTTCTCCTTAGAATCAGTGTCTAGGAAAGGTGAGTCCATGCCTGCAGTAATGTGTACTTTTTAGAGCATTGGTGTTGCTATCTAAATGGGTGTCCATCACCCTCACAGGGGTGGTCACATAGTCCTGGCTAGGCCTATCCATTGCCCCTAGTGAAGCCAGGACACCCCGAAGATGTCCAGAGGCAGAAAGTGTCTGTGGCTCTGTTGGCCGGGAAAATCCTTGGTGAAGCAGAATCCAGCTGATGTCAAAGCTTTGATTCTTCTGTGAGTGCTGTGCACCTGGGTTTCCCTGGCCTTGGCTGGGGCCAGTTTTCCAGTTTAGTTGCCCATAGAAACCCCAGGAGATGGTTCGTGAGCCTCACCCTTTGAGACACCTGAGATGCTTTTTGATCTCTCTGGCCAACCACATTCCTTTAGCATTTCACAGAAAATGGCTTTATTTTTCGAGTGGTCTTTCTTGATTCATTTCAGCAGCCCTTGTATTCCATTGTAGTGAATAATGTAAGTCTGTGAAGTAACTGACTGCAGAGCAAGTGTGTGCATTCTGCCATGATCTCGGTCCAGCTGGCAGTGTCCACTGTGTTCAGGGAATTTCTCTGCCAACCACATCAGGACTTAGGGATGTGACTGTCTCTTCCTGTTTGGTGACTTTGCATGTTTCATCTGCTTATTAGGATGCTTCCAGCACAGATAATTGAGTATTACAGCGCTTCAGGACCACCACCTCCTCCGCCTCCACCCATGATTCCTTCAGCACAAACTGCCTTCGTCAGCCCTCTCCAGATCCCCTCGCAGCCCCCCTTTCCTGCATCACCCGGCTCCGCCTACTCCGCTCCCCCTCACCCACCCTCCACTGGGCTCCTGGTCACAGCACCGCCTCCCCCAGGCCCGCCGCCTCCCCCGCCAGGCCCTCCTGGCCCTGGCTCTTCTCTTTCCTCTTCCCCGATGCACGGACCCCCTGTGGCCGAGACAAAACGTCCAGAGCCTGCACAGCCACCCATAAGTGATGCTCGAAGTGACCTCCTTGCTGCCATTCGAATGGGTGAGTGGACACCTTGGCTATGCAGCCTCCTTTTATACCGAGATTTTTGTAGGTCTCCAACCAGCTGTCACCTTGTGCCTTCAATGACGGCTCTCTGCATTAATTTTATTTTTTGAATAATATTTTTTGAAGTAGACTTAAAGGAGCCTTAAAAAAAAAGGTGTTCATTTTTAGATGTGGTTAACCACATCATGATGAAGAACTGATAATTCAGAAATTGAATTAAAAAACTGAGAATTGAGGAAAGCTTTACTTAAAATAACAGAAATGATAAGTTGAGTAATAGGGTCTTATCTGTAGTCTACTGTAAAAATATAAATGTAAATAACGGAAACTGAGTTCATATCAATGACTTAGTTTTCTAAAGAAAATCTAAGATACCTCATCAGCATTTATTTAGCAGAAGTGCTGCCCTGATCCTCAGGCCCCAAAATGAGTGATAGTGTGTGTCAGGGTAGAATTGGGTGGGAGGCTGTCTTAGTTACTTTTCTCATTGCTGAGAAAAAATACCCAACACCCAGAGTTAAAGGAGGTGAGGTTTAGCTAGCTCACAGTTTGTGGAAGTTGGCTACTCCAAGGCAGGGTGGCACGGCAGTGGGGCAACAGTTCATGGTGGGCAGAAGGCAGCAAAACAAGAGGTGACCTTTCACCTGAGCACCCACCCATCAGACCTTTGCAGGGTTCTCTGTATCTCAGGCATCATTGATACACTTTGAGTTCATCAAGCAGTAATGTCACAGAGGAGGAGAAGCTTAGAGGTTTCAGCATTGTGGTCACCATAGGACCGTGTTAGACTCGGCATTTCTGTGCCTTTGGCCCTGTTCACGGAGAGTTAACACGTAATTAGGAGCTGTCTTGAGGGATATCTGATGCGCGTGAGCTGAGCCACGTGCCACCTCCAGACGGCCTCTGTTCAGAACAGTGTGAAGGTAAAAACTGTCTGAATCATAGCACAGCAGCAGAACACAACCTTACGAGTCAGTTCTCCTGTTGCTGGCCCTGGTGCCCAGCACTCCTCATTTAAGGAAGAAAGTGATTTTGCTCACCATTGGAGGGAATGCAGTCTGTAGACAGCTGGTGCAGGGGAGGAACATTGTGGAGGGACTGCCTGGCGGAGCAGAGCAGGTGACAGGGTCAGAACCAGGTGAAGGGCTGTTCATGCTCTGTGACCCGTCCACACAGCAGGAGCACAGTCTGCTAACCTGCTAGGTGTTCTTGATCCAGTGAAGCTGCCATATTAGGGTTAAGGGTCACAGCACGCACCTTGGCCTACCCGCAGATCTCCTTAAACCGTGAGTAATGTCAAAGTGGAGACAATAGCGAGGCCATGGTTCCTCCAGGCCAAACGTTTTTAAGTTTTCAGAATCTTAGGCCCTGACCCAGGGGAGTGTGTGCCATTTGCAGTTAGATTGAGTTTACAGTAAGTCCCCGACATAGGAACGGTCACGCTGTGAGCTTTCAGATTCGAGTGGACCTCATGTTATGAAGTTGCATAGGTGCCAATCCATCTCGGAAGCAGCTCCCGTGTCTGCAGACACTGTCACAGCACATGGTGCTGCTGTGTGCTAACCACATAGGGCAACAGTGTACAGCAGTGCAGGGCCCGGTCAGAGCCCAGGCTGTCTCAAAGCAGGAGGTTTGGGTTTTACGCTTTCCTTAGTCTGTGTCAGCGGTTAGTAAGACACTGTCAAACTCGTGATGGAAGCCACCTTACAGTCATCCTCCAGAAGGGAATGCACTCATAAGTTGCGGACTTGCTGTACTGATATCATCTGAATAGTATTGATGGGATTAACGTAGTGCATTGGATCTATGCTGGGTTTCTGATCTTGATTTTTTTAAAGGAAATTAGCATGTGAGATGTTTGAAGAGGGGAGAAGAATCAGTATGTGCTGTGTATTTCAGACAGTCCAGAGATAAGTGTGCGAGTGACAGAAAGAGAGGCAAACACTGGTCAGGGTGACCATTTGGGAAATCTGGATAGTTTTGCATGGCAGTGTTTTTATGCCGATCTTATGGCTTTTCTGTAAATCTGAGATTATTTCAGAAGAAAAAGTTAAAAGAGTGACACACATTAAGTCATCAGATACCATTGTTACTAAATAGTCCAATCGGTGGTTGTGTTTTATACCCATTCCTGCAGGGCTCCTCAGCTCCCTCCCGCAGACTCTGGCCGTGCAGTGTTAGTCTTCACGTGGCCACAGCCTGCTCGAGGCCCTGTCACTTCAGGTTTGAAGTGGCCACTGGCTAATGTGCAGGATGCTGTGACCCCCAAGCTTCCTTTGATGGTGTCCGCGTCATTGCAGCTGTCACCAGCTTTCTTAGAACAGATTCGCACAGTCTGCTCTCTCCTTAGATTTCTCAGACTTTCCCCTTAGGCTCAGCAGGAGAGTCCAGCAGACCTGTGCACCCCTGGCTCTTCCCTGAGACCTGACCCTTTCCCACTGTGCCCTCAGGGATCCAGCTGAAGAAGGTGCAGGAGCAGCGTGAGCAGGAGGCCCGGCGGGAGCCCGTGGGGAATGACGTGGCCACCATCCTGTCCAGGCGCATCGCTGTGGAGTACAGCGACTCCGATGACGACTCGGAGTTCGATGAGAACGACTGGTCTGACTGAGATGGGGGCAGGTGGCAGGGACCGCGGGGACACTGTGTGGGCGTGGGCTGGGGACCCAGATAGAGGTCTTATAATCCTTAGCTTAGCACCTTTTGTATGAATAACGTGGTATCGCTTCTGCACATCCAACAACTCTGGGTTTTTCAGTACTTACTGTGTAATACTTAAGTGCCACTCCACATAGCACATCGTGCCGCACACGGGGAGATACGCCGTAAGTGTTGCATCGTCCTGGAAACAGCACCTCGCTTCCCTCTTTGCCGTGAAGTATTTACTTTACTCTTAGCAGCCATTGCGGTTCTGTAGCCTTGCTGTGTATTTGTGAAGCTGCCTGGTTAGGTCTCTGCAAGACTGTCAGAGTGACTTTTTCTGACCAGTAAGTGATACTATTTTACCTTTTGTTTTCCTTTTTTTATTATAATGTGTTTTCAAAAGAAATTGGCTCTAGAGGGAAGGATTGAGCAAATCAGGAGAATCAAATGTTCCTGCATTGAGTTTCTTGCCTTTGGTAGCCTCGGAGTGCGTTTGGATGCTGGGCTGAGTAATTTCCTTGCCTTCGCACTCATCAGATGTGAAGTTGGAAGGGCCTTTTTCAGGCAGGGTTCCCTGTGGACACTGAGTTCATTTAGTAAATGCTTGCTGATAATTTTTGTGAGCTTTCAGCAAATCAGTGGTAATATAAATGAAAACAAGGACCATAACCCCTCAGGGCCATCGAGATGCCACATACAATACTGGCCAGCCCCAGCCAGCCAGGACAGGTGCGGGCTCTCCGGGGATCGCAGCACCCAGCTGGACAGTGCAGCAGGCAGCTCAGGCCAAGGGTGCAGAGGGCCTGCTGCACTTGGTCCAGGTTACACACGTGTAGGTTTAGGAGGAACATACTGAGAGCTCTGCTTTTCCTGGTGCTGTGGCCAGACCAGGATCAGCCTTGTGGGCGGGGCCTGCACCCCCTCCTAGAAGCACATGGCTCTCATCTGTCGCATTGTTGGCACCTTACACTTTCAGAAGCACCTCACTGCACGACCCTTTTCAGCCCATAGCTGAGCACCTTGCGTTCGCCTCTGCTGCTCTGTTCTTGCCGCTCAGTGATCCTGCAGACTGGTCAGGCAAACCAGGGCTAAAGCAGCACGGGCTAATTCTGGTCAGGCAAACCAGGGCTAATTCCGCACTGCAATTCTGGATGCAAGGTCACTGCCTCTCAGAGCACGCGTGCTGGCCCCAGCATTGCCTGTGGGTCAGCTCTGTGGAGTTGTGTGGGTTGCAGGGAGGATGTCAGCAGGAGAGTAGAGGTCTGGGGAGACTGGCCAGTGCCCCATGTGTCATCCGGTGTGTTTCTGCATGCCACCGGTGGACTCGGGGCACCTGTCATAAGTGTCCTCCTGTGTGCTGGACTCTTATGACACTGGATTTGAGACTGAGAAGCCAGTGTCTGCACTCCTTTCCAAGACCGACTTGGCCCTGTTTGAGTCCTTCTGCACCCCTGCGGCCAGCACCTTGCCCCAGAGTGCTTGCCACTGAGCTGTCCCTGTAATTCCGCGGACACTGGTCATTATTAATGCCCTTCAGTCTGTCTCTCCCCACTAGGAGGCTGCTGTGCTGGCGTTTTCCCTGGCACGCTGACCGTGTTTAGTCTTACTTTGTCCTCAGTGTAATGGTTGGCCTTTGTGTTACTTCCGTGTCGAGAGTGCCCCAAATAATTCTAGGGCTCACTTGGCAGCATTCTTTGTTTCGTGTGGCCCTTTGTTCTCAGGATGAAGGGAACGCATTAAAGCGACTGTCCACATCATGATTTGTCCTATTTATATCCTATTACAATACAGTCAGCGGCACTTTATCATAAATATTCACGAGCCTGTCAATTATTAGTTGTCCTCCTGTAGTTTAATCAACAAGTTACTTTTAATTTGATTTTTTGACTAGTGAGAAAGCTTCTACCCTGTTGTTTTCTATAACCTTTAATAGAATGGAAAATGACAGAAATGCAAATTAAATTATTTTTAGAGTATCTTTTCAGCAAACTTGATTTAGTATAAAATTTTAAATTCAGATCTGGTATGATGCTGCATGAACAGAGTAAAAGACTCTGAGTTTTTGGCTATTGTTTTCAAAAAGTATTTTCCAAAACAAATGAAGAAAATCATTCGGCACCGTATTTCATTCACTTCCGTAAATTTTAGGTTTAAACCACAATTGTAAATCACCCAGTTTTATTTCTGTGTGTATTTTAGTTGGCTCTCCTGCAAGCTTTTTCCTCATGGCAGACGCGGAGGGATGGAGAGAAGACTGGGTGCCCGCTCGCCGCACGCGCCCGGGGCCGAGCGAAGACACACGATTGTGCGTTCTTCCCCTCGGCTGTGCGGACCATCGCTCATGTCTGTGCTAAGGATGCTGCTGGGAAATTCATGTTCCATTGCAGTGAATTCTAAACAGCATCAACATCTTTTATGAGCACCAAGTGTCTAGATTATAAAAGTTTTATAATATTTGCCACTGAAATACATGATACATTTTAATCCATTAAAGATTAGTGAGAATGTATCAACCAGAGTAGCAAGTAATTTTGTTTTATGGAGCAGAGTATCTGTCATCTTGCAGTATTACCAATGCTGTTGTAAATTGAGAGTGGTATTAAAAAATTCTGTCAAACAATTTTTATCTGTTTGTATATCTTACTATAGATTATGTACAAGTAACATCTAAATAAAATTACACTTTTAACCCTAAAAGGTTCCGCTTGTTATAGTGGCGCTGTGGACCTGACTTGGGAGGATTTGGGACTTGGGTGTGGTTTTTATTTAGCCCTTTTCTGACTCCACCCTCACTGCTGTTTAACTCTCTGTGTAGCATTCCTGTGACTGCGACCTGGGGCTTCCAGCACCTTTCCAGGAGCAGGACAGCATGTGGCCTGGGCTGTGTTTCATTTTGATGACATTGTGGCCAATGCCTACGTCTCGCTTGCTCCTTGAGGGAGACTTTTAAGATATGGATTCTTTTTCATGTATGACAAAACCAGGGTGCGGTCAGGTTGTTCACCAGGGGCTCGGCTTGATATAAAGCCTCAATCCGGGGCAGTGATTCATGTGGGCAGTGATAGTCTGGACTCGGTGGCTGCTAGGTGGGGCCACATTCAGGGAGCCGCACTGGGGGTAGGTTCTGTCAGTCTGTCCTGGCGTGTGTCACGTGGTACCGTGGATTCTGTGTCGCCTCCCAGCTGTCTGCGTGGTCTTCCTGGACCACCTTACACATCTTTGCATCTGGGAACCAGAGCCTGATGCCCAATCTGCTAGACAGTCAGCAGCCTCTTGTGAAATGATTTAGATGAATCACAGGTTTTCAAATTACTTTTGAAACAAAACATAAATGGTCTGCACTTTTATAGAATATTTCATATTTTACCGAATACGCAGTGTGTTCTCAGTAGGACCACTTGCTGCGACGTGTGGCTGCCCCTTGATTTGTGTGGGTTCCCACCTTGCTGAGCTCTGTGAGCAGGCACAGCCTCCTGTTCACTGCGGTACTGTGTATCACCTGCAGTGCCTGCCGCTCACAGGATGCCAGTGCAGAGGAGCAAGTAGGGGTCATTAAAGAGCAGAGGGGAAGCTGCTTGAGGCCTGGTAGGAGCTCCTGTGCATCACCGCGTGCAGGTGGAGCCTGGAGGGCAGAGACAGGTCACTGGGGTCATGGCCTGGAAGGGTATGTTTCCCTCCTTGGCTCCAGCGCGCATTCTCTGCTTCCTGGCCACCGTGGCATAGCTTTCCTCCTCCACACCTTTCCCCATGCAGCTCCTGTCTTGGAGCTGCCAGCTATGGACTGAAAATACGGTACATACACTTTTGAGGTGTGGATGTCAGGTATTGCATCTCAGGGATGCGAACTTTTAGTATGTGTTTGAAATTCATCACTTCCCTTCCCTGTATAAACAGTTCTGTTCCATTTTTATCACTGAGTAGTGCTTCACAGTAAGAACACAGTGAATTCATTTGTCCTCTTTTGTAAGATACATGCAAAGCTTTTCTGGATATATGTGTTCATGCATCTTGGCTATAGACCCAAGACTGGGATTGCTACGTCACGTCATAGGAGTTTTATAAGAACAGCCAGAGCTTTTTTTTTTTCCTTTGAGACAGGGTCTTGCTATGTAGTGCAGGCCAGCCTGGAACTTACTTTGTAGCCCTGGCTGGCCTTGAACTCATAGCGAGCTTCCTGCCTCCCAATTGCTGGGATTACATGTGTGTGCTACCACACCCGGTGTTTGTTTTATTTTGTTTTTGTAAAGTGGCTGTACACTAGTAATGTTGCTTCACATCCTTAGATGTGAGTTTCTGTACATTGATCCTGCTTAGAGTTCACTGATCTTCAGTTTGTAAATGTGTGTCTTTCTTAGCACGTAGGGCAGTTGGACATTATTTTTCAAATTTCTGCTCTGCTGTTTCTATCCTTTTTAATGGTCCTGTTACACATATGTTCAACTTTTGGATATTGGCCAAAGTCCTTGATACTATTTCAATTTAAAATACTATTTTTTTCCTGTTCTGCAGATTCGAAGTTTTTATTAATATATTATCAACTTCACTGTTCTGTCTTCTACACTTTGCTTTTACACCCATACAGTAAATTTTTTTTTTATTTCAGAGATTGTATTTTTGCAATCTGGTAGAATTTTTTTTTTTTTTAATTTTCTTTCTCTGCTAAGATTTCCTACTGGTTCATTTATTATGGGCCTATTTTCCTTTTATCTGTTTGAGCACAAACTACCTCTGAAAACCCTTGTCCCTTAATTCCAGCACATGCATCATTTCAGGATCCATCTCTGTTAGTTGCTTTTTCTCTTGAGTGTATGCCGGTAGTTTTGGGTTGTATCCAGAACTGAGTGTTACATTCCTTCCAAAAGTGCTGCTTTTCTTTCAGGGAGATCAGTTAACATGGCCAGGCCTGAGCTGCTAACTCTGTGTGTCTGCACCCCTGGTACTGGATAACAGCAGAACTTCTCAGGTTCTTTTAGCCTTAGCCAGGCCGCTTAGAGTTGGACTTAACAAGGTTTTGTGCAATGTTTACATCCCCTCTCTAGTTCTCCTGGGTTCCTCTCTCTCTTCCGTTCAGGCCACTTGGAGGTTGGTGCTCTCACTTGTTAAGCCAGTAGCGTGTGGGGTGAGCTACCAAACTGCACATTTTCCAGCAAGCTGAGTGGTCCTGCTTGGCAGGGTGAGGCCCAGCTCCAGGCAAAACCCAGTTAAAAACCAGGGAAGGCACCGAGAGGTTTTCCTTTCCAAACATGAGCTCCCTGCTAGTGTTTGTTTTTGATTTTTGTCCAGTACTTTCCATAGTTGTATATTTGTTCCTGTTTATAAATGTTCCCTGGAGAGAGTTCATTTGGAATAGGTTAGTCTTCAGAAACTGGAGTCCCATCTGTAAATACTTGATGTAAAAAAATCTTAAAAATAGGGGCTGGGGATTTAGCTCAGCGGCATAAGCGCCTGCCTTGGGAGCGCGCGGTCTTCAGTTTGGTCCCCAGTACTGATTAAAAAAAACAAACAAACAAAAACTTAAAAATGTTTTCAATACAGACTGTGGTTGAAAGTCAAATCATAGTAGATGACCAGCGGTTTTTTCCCTGCCAGATGACTGTGTTTCTGTGAAGACCTCCACAATAAAGCTTGTGATATCTTCCCTTACCTGAGTGCTATCCACAGATTATGTAGTACACAGAGAAACATTTACTGTTGGCATTTATTTCTGTGAATCAAAATGTCTTCAAATGTGTTCAAACATAACCAGGCATAGAAGTGCTGGAGAGGTGAGACCGGTACCAGAAAACAGCCGTGATCCCAACCTCAACTTGGGTTCAAATGACTGCAGTGTTTTCACGGAATGCTACACATTTAGTTTAGGAATAGATCTGTTCAAATAAAAACCACCTTGTTCGGCTGCATGGGATGGAGCCCAGGGCCTCACACATGTCAAGGAAGCCCTCTACCCCTAAACCACAGTAGCACCCCTGAAATACTTACCTTCGCTGTGGGGTTCATTTGGAAAGGAGGTTACACTCTCCAGAAGTTTGAAAACCACTGCGTGATGCCCTTACCACCTGATTCTCCTAGCTGTACATTAGCAAGCGTTCATGTTGTTAGAGCACCTTGCACTGTATTGTAATTGGTTTTTGTGTTTTTGTTTGCTTTGGTTTTGGTGTGTGTTAGTTTTGGTCTTTTGAGGTAGTGTCTTACTATGTAGCTCCAGCGAGTCTTGAACTCACTAGAGAGCCCAGGCTGGCCTCATGGTTGATCTTCCTGCCTCAGCCTCCCGAATGCTAAGAGAATAGGCCTGCAAACCATGCCCAGCCTGTCAGCAATTTGTATTTCATAAAGTCAGGAGTAGCACAGAGGTGTTAACATGTGTTCTTAACTTGAAGTGTGGGTAATCTGTACATGTGTCCAGGAGTGAGTTTGATGGCAGAAATTTGTCTTTATAGGACACACTTTTTGCCGAGCTGGTACCTGGACATTGATTTGCCAAAACACAGCAGTTCTATCCTGGTGTTGTGTGCAGGTAGCTTTGTTCATTCCCCACTGCGTTTTCTTTGTGCAGTGGAAATCTGAGTAACAAGTTCAAATACAGCACCATGATCAGAGGTGGAGAACTGATAACTGAGGGAAAGCTACCTACCATGACGAAAACCTGAGAGAACATGCCAGTTCAGTGGAACTTAGAGATCTTGTTACTCATAATGAGGTGACATTTACAACCATTTAATATTTCAAGGATGTCCTTGACTGCTCTGGCCTAAAGCCAGTTTAAATGGAAGCCAAGCAGTTTAAGAATATACAGCCCGCACATCCTGAAAACACTCTTAGCATTTACATTTATCAGATGCCGTGTGTGTGTGTGTGTGTGTGTGTGTGTGTGTGTGTGTATGTGTGTGTGTGTGTGTGTGTGTGTGTGTGTGTGTGTGTGTGTGTGTGTGTGTGTGCTGGTGGCTCAGACTGTACCTTCTGCCCTTAGATATGATGATCTTGATAATTAGGGTGGCCACTTTCAGCTCCTCTAAAATGTCTCTGTAGTATTTCAAAGGCCTGTGTGCTCATTTGGCTGGAGTTGGTTTTAAGTAGGGGCAGTGAGTCTAGGGCCCAGAACACTGGTCATCCCTGGCCCCTGGGCAGCTTGCCCTTAGGTGCCCAGGCTTGCACCCCACCTCGGGATATCCCCACAGTCCTCAGCATCTCTGCTGGAGCAGCAGGCTGTGTCCTCGTTTGGACTAGAGTCTCCAGCAGCCCTGGGTGCTCGCCATGTCACCAAGCTTCCCTGCACCTGGGAGGCTTCATCTTCTGCCACACTGGCTGGCAGCCTGGAAGGACACAGGTCACACGGCCACTGCCATCCTGCCACGTGCCCCCAGCCTCCAGCATGTGGCTTCTCTTCATTTCCAGCCTGACCATCCTGCGACTTTGGATTTTAAGGTAACACTGGGGATCCATAAGCTCAAGACCATAACATAAAACACCAAACCCTCCCAGAAGTGGTTCTAACATGGGTTTAGGCTGACATGCCCCTGAACACCAGTGAAGCAGCTGAGTAGAGGGGCCACTTCGGAGCCTTCTCGGCTGACACAGCTTTTCCAAGCACCCACATCAAAACAGCCTGGGTGCAGGCTTCTGAGCCCCATCTCAGACGTTGAATCAAAACATTGAGCAGGAACCCTGAATCCAGTCTCCAGTACCCCAGAGTGGTACTC